CAGGCTGGCCTCAAACTCCTCGGCTTAAGCGATATGCCTGCCTCAGCCTCTCAAACTGCTAGTATTATAGGTGTGAGCTACCTTACCTGGCCTAATAGCATTCTTAAAAGTGTAAGAGAATATTATTATCATAGCTTACCATTATTATTTAACATATGTTTGCACAATATTATTCATTGTGATTAAATATAATTAATATATATTATATTTCTATCATAGAATTAAATGATTTATGAAATAGGCAAACACTCTACCAGTATGCCATACAAGCCATATACACATATTAAATACATACATATGCCAACACATATCTTGACACACCAAGTATCACACACATACACATACATACACATCCCCATGCATATATTAATAATTGTTCCAAGAAGGTCACAAGTGCTTGAAACAATGTGACATCTAGGCCCTTTGCTTGCAAACACATTGCCATTGCTCCCTACTGCCAGAGAGTGGTGAGGTTTGTGGTTTTTCTAAAGGTGGTGATAGCTGGAGTGACTAATCTACAGTCTCTACACCAGGAAGCCCTAATGACTCATAACACATTCTTGAGATGACTAGGCTAGGATTAGAGGCATAATCGTGTGTTAATCAAAAAGATTAAATCTAACTGACTTCTAGAGGGTGAACCCAAGTCTTCACCTCTTCAGCCCCATCTCATCCCATGTCCACATCAAACAGTGGTATGTCTATCTTTGTACCCCATTTCATCTAAGCAGGTCCTATGACGGCTTCGACCAGGAATATAGCCATAGTGACACTGGGCAAGTGATGGGTATATCCCTTAACTGACCTGGCAGTTCCTGCTTCCCATCTCTTAGAAACCAGCTGCCATGTAAGAAATGCTCCCACACTGAGACCACCATGGGATGGGAAGGCCAAGCCACGTGAAGATACTCTGGAGGGTAAAAGTGTCACATGGAGAAAGGGAAAGAGGCCGAGAAGTAACGAGGCACTAGACTGAAGAAGCCATCCTGGATGACTAGCCCAGCTGAGCTTTTAGATTACTCCAGCCACAGCTACCATCTGACTGCACTGCATGAGAAACTCAAGTTAAGAACAGCCTACTTGAGCTCAGTCTCCAGTGGAACTTTGAAAGATAGTAATTTGTTACTTTACTCACTAAGTTTTCGAGTAACTTGATGGATAACAATAAACAACAATAAATAACCACATTCTCTTATAACAAACATTTCTCCAAAGTTTTCAAGTAACTTGATGGATAACAACAAATAACAATAAACAACCGCATTCTCTTATAACAAACATTTCTCCAAAGTCTGAGAGATAGAACCACAATCTTGCCTCCACTTTCTCTTCTGTGCCTATGGCAGTTTGGGTGTGGAGGCTCTTTATACAAAACATATTAAGTTAACCTATCACAGAAAATGTAACAAAGCATGAAAAAAATTGAGTTAGCATTCAACGCACTATCTGTAATACTGAATATGGTAACAATAATGTCTTATATTTTTTAAAAATAACACCTACCACTAACTGAGCACTCATGTGTGCTAGACATTCTTTTGGGCACCTTGCACTCATAAGTATATTCAATCGTCATGACAATCCTGTGTTGTATCATTCTCATTTTTGTAAAGAAATTGTAGAGGTTGGCCGGGCGCGGTGGCTCAAGCCTGTAATCCCAGCACTTTGGGTGGCCGAGGCGGGTGGATCACGAGGTTGAGAGATCGAGACCATCCTGGTCAACATGGTGAAACTCCGTCTCTACTAAAAACACAAAAAATTAGCTGGGCATGGTGGCACGTGCCTGTAATCCCAGCTACTCAGGAGGCTGAGGCAGGAGAATTGCTTGAACCCAGGAGGCGGAGGTTGCGGTGAGCCGAGATCGCGCCATTGCACTCCAGCCTGGGTAACAAGAGCGAAACTCGGTCTCAAAAAAAAAAAAAAAAAAGAAATTCTAGAGGTGAAGTAATCTATACAAGGTCACATAATTAGTTACTGGCAGAGCCAAGATTTTAAAATGTGTCTTTACAATTCCAAACTCCAAACTCTGAACCACACTTCATTGTACAGTCTTTAAATCTTTACATTTTACAATGAGCTTTTTAAATGGTGTTTTCAGATGACATATCCCTAAATAAGATGCTGACATCTTTTTTAAGAACAACTTTATTATCTGCCAGTTTAATATAACTTACTGGTGTATTTTTTATTTTACGTATTTATTTGACTTCGCCTTCTTCAGAACAGTTTTTAAAGAGCCATTTCTGCCACACCATTCGCTCAGGCCAGTAATCCCAGCTCTTTGGGAGGCCAAGACAGGCGGATTGCTTGAGCCCAGGAGTTCAAGACAAGACTGGGCAATGTTGTAAAACCCCGTATCTATTAAAACACAAAAATTAGCTGGGCATGGTAGCATAGGCCTGTAGTCCCAGCTATTCAGGAGGCTGAGGTGGGAAGATCGCTGGGGCCCAGGAAGATGAGGCTGCAGTGAGCCAAGATCGAGCCACTGCACTCCAGACAGTTTCTCACTGTCTCAAAAGAGAGAGAGAGAGAGAGAGAGAGAGAGAGAGAGAGAGAGAGAGAAGGAGGGAAGGAAGGAAGGAAGGAAGGAAGTAGAAAAGGAAAAGAAAGAAAGAAAGAAATCTCAGATATTTTATAACTGATCAGGTTATGAGGACTAAGGACTATGAGGATGTTTGTAGTGGGGAACAGCAGGGGAACAGGGAAAGGGGAAAAAGGCTTTCTTCCTTTTTTTTTTTTTTTTTTTTTTTCTGATACATGGTCTCTCTCTGTCGCTCAGACTGGAATGCAGTGCCAAGGTCTCGGCTCACTACAGTCTCAACTTCCCGAGCTCAGGTGATCCTTCCATCTTAGGTTCCAGGCAACCGGTACTACAGGAGTGTGCCGGCAAGCCCGGCTAATTTGGGGATTTTTATTTATTGTTTGTTTGTTTGTTTGTTTTGTTCTGTTTGGAGAGACAGGGTTTCTCCATGTTCCCCAGGCTGGTCATCTCCTGGGCTCAGGCAATATCCCTGCCTCCACCTCCCAAAGTGCTAGAATTACAGGTGTGAGCCACTGTGCCTGGCCAGCATTGGCTTTCACATATGTTCACTTGCTTTATTTTCTTTACACCTGTGTCATAGATTAGAAAACTACACGTTAGAGAATTTAAAAGATTTGCCAAAGTTGCTCAGAAAGTGATCTGATCCAAAATAGCGTCCTTCTGTTTGTACTACCCCTATAGCCTAGAAGTTTACTGTTAATTCATGTCCTCCTCTCGTACTTGTAGTCACACATGAATCCTGCTGTTACTTGTCTAATTTGATTTCTAACATTGTCATTGATCCTGCCCCTAGTTCAGCCTAAGTGCCCAGTCTTAAGCCCCAGAATATTAAGGATGCCGGATCATTTCTACAATGTTATCTCCAAGCCTGATGAACCAAGAAATTGCTAGATTACTTTGTACAACATTACAATGGCACTGCTGTAACATTATATGCCAAATCCAGAATTTGCAAGGATCAGAAGTTGATTGCAAACTACTCTAGGATTCACAATCTGTAAAAATGGAAGTTTGGTGCTATGGACCGTGCTGCTCTCAATGGAAATATAAGTTCACTACTGTAAATTTTATCTTTGTGAAAGCAGATTACTTTGATCTGCTTTTAAGCAAGATGTACATTACCTTCTAAGTTAGCCATTTCTGTTACCCAGCTATTACTTTGAGTTTTCATGTAACTTTGGGTCTCACGTTAAAAAGATATGTACACTGAAACTGAAAATCTGCTCTGGAACATAATTAATTGGTTTTCTAACATTTTTCTCACATGCTACCCTTTTCAGCAGGAAATGGTAAGAAATATGAGTCACTTAAAATGTCAATGACTCTTTCTGCAAAAAATAATAACAAACTTAAGAAAACCAAAGTTGAAATTAAACTGAAAACACTCAAACCTTCATAAATGGTGGCTGCTCTTATCTTTTTTAAATAATTCAAAACTATAGCAAAATATTACGTTCAATTTTGTTGACCAATATTGTGAATAATTGAATTGATGTTAAGTCAAGCAATTATTTAAAATATACCTTCGGAAGCCTTAGAATATTCCTTTTCTAAAGTAAAATTTCTGACTTTTGACTGGGAAAAAGATTAAAGAGCTTAGGAAACAAAATTCCCATGGGGGTGAAAGGGAGCTTCTGCATTCCTAAGGGACCCATGTCATGTCAGCCCGTAACTCTTCACATGTGCCCACATCCTGTTCTTCAGTGCTAATAAGGAGGGACAGAAAAGCTCTTTCATTTTTTAGTCTCTGTTTCCCAATCAGCCACCATTTCAGTTAGCGCTAATGCAAAGATAACCAAGGTTAGCTGCAAAAAAGTTTCCAGAAACTCATCACATCTACACAATTATACTAGGGCAAGTGACTTACTACTGCAAACTAATGAATAATAGTGGAGAAACACTACCAACTCTGATTTTTGTAGCATCTTATTTAAAAAAATGAAAACATTGATATTCAAAGATTCCATGCTCCTATTCAAGTGTGCATGAGAACATCTATTCAAAAGATAATCAGAAGCTATGGTCATTCAGCTGAACAAGTGAGCTGCTTTATCGTGGGCCAGTTTAAAGATATAGTTATACATCACTTAAAAATGGATAATAAAACAATATCAAAACATCTACTTGCCCTCCGTCTGACTCCTAGAAGCCGCTCAAAAGAATGCCTGTCCAATGACATCCAATAATTCTTGAGGAAAATTTTTAGATGCTGACAGGCACTCAAGCATCTCAGCAGGAGACATTGGGTTTCTGGCTTCTAGATAACATCTTAACCTATGATCACAGCCACAGTTTTACAGACTTCCTCCCAATTCACTTGTGAATGCTGGAAAGAGAATGAGTAAAAGCCTATCTCTCTTCTCACTAAGATGTATGCGGAGATTCTGAAATCTTCTTTATTTTCTCAAATATTTTACTCCTCAATTAAAATCCCCCAAAATTATTTCATTCATGTTACCTTTTTCTGGGCTTTTTGCAGGATTTTTTCAGGGCAGTTGACTGTGGATCTGAAGAGGGATTTTAGCTTCGTCTTGTGATTTCTCAGTAACTGCAGTTAATAAAGTCCTCACCTGTTTTTTATATCAGCAGAGTAATAAGCTTACATCTTTCCACCTGCATCTAAGCCCTGGGATCAACAGTAAATTCCATCCAATGATTGAATGGCACTTGGTGTAATTACCATGACATCAATTTGATCTTATCTTGTGTCAATGTTTAGATCATTTTTGTTTTGAGCCATTTTCAGGCAATGGTAACCACAAGGTCAGCCTATGAAAAGAGAGTACACTGTCACTTTGTACGTAGTTTTATTGAGCCTTACACATAACATCCTGAAAGTTGACACTTTCCTATAAACAAGAGACATTTAATTAGCTAAGTACCTGATATTTACCTAAACAAGAGCTGTAGATTTCAGAAAATAGATATAGAGCATTTCCAGGTTTATACCACTCACTATTCCACTAGGAAACAAAAATAAAACACATGCCTATTTAGACTTTTCTAAAATTAACGTGCATCTGAATAAGAAAGGAATGAGGCAATTCTAAGAAGGACTGAATGGTTCTCAATATATGTGCCTGTTTTTTTGTTGTTGTTGTTTATCATTTCACTTTTGTAAAGCTCAGTTTCTGCCTGATCAGAAAATACGCATGTTATGGCTTGTCAGATGTGGGGACACTTAGCTCCAAGGTTTCCAACCCAGTGTCACCCTAAAACATGCACAGCTCTTCAGACTACTGTGACTTCTTTTTTGCAGAGATTATGGAGGGAATGTGTACTCTTTCTGGGTCCACAAGGGGGCATAGTTTTAAGGGCAAGGACTTCCTAGAGCCATACCCTCCTCCCATCTCTCTCCATCCAGGAGATTTAACTGTGTATGTTTGAATTTCACGGGCGAGGGAAGAAACTAAGAGTCAATCACTCCAGTGGAAGTTCTAAGGAACTCTTTTCATTGGCCAGGGGACTTAGAGAAGGTGGGGGTTCCTCTCAGGTTAAAAGTCCCCTTCTTCCACACCCCTTCGGACTCCCTTCCACCAACATGCCCTTCATGAAGGCCATCTTTCCCTGTCCTGGATTTCCCCTCTGGTGTTCCCTTTTGCACTTTCTCCCTGTCTTCCCCTCTGAAACTCCATCTCTGTCTCTATTCCCTTCCACTCAGTGTGGAAGCTGCTTTTCTCTCCTGGATTCCATTTTTCTGGGTTCTCTCACTCGGTGTGAGAGTTAGCTGTTTCTTTCTCTCTCCTTCTGTTTCTCTCTCTTTAAATAAAATCACCTTCTACAAACACTTTTGAGTCTGGCATATACTGCGCACTGCACCAGTGGTCCCCCCTCTCATTATTGAGAAGGCAGGAGACCAAGAACCTGGAGAAACGTCCTCTCATGGTAGCTGAGGGCACCCTGAACCCCAGCATTACATTATGACCCTTCAAAAATTCCCATCTTTACTCTTCTCAGTACACAAAGGAATTAGCTTAGATACAAACGACCAAGGACCTCTTCAGTGAAGAGTTTAGAAGAACCATGTGATGCAAAAAGCAATTCTTGTTTAACGTAAACAAACTTCACAACAAAAGCAAAGTTGTTCTGATTTATTTTCTGTGATAAACAAATTTGTTTAGGTTCTTACACCTTTTCAGATTTCCGTTATTTCCTTCCAGTATGCACCCCAACCATTTGCCTTTTCCTAGGGATGCTTTTTTTTGGGGGGGGATGGGGAGACGGAGTCTCGCTCTGTCACCCAGGCTGGAGTGCAGTGGCACAATCTTCCCTGCAGTCTATATCTACAGGGTTCAAGCACTTCTCCTGCCTCAGCCTCTGAGTAGCTAGGACTACCGGTGTGCGCGACCAGGCCTGACTAATACTTGTATTTTTAGTAGAGACAGAGGAGTCACCATGTTGGCCAGGCTGGTTTAACTCCTGACCTCAAGTGATCCAACCGCCTCAGCTTCCAAAAGCGCTGGGATTTACAGGCGTGAGTCACTGTGCCCAGCCTTTCTAGTGATGACTGATGTCATCATTAATCCAAGAATTTCCATCATTTGAATCTCAACGAACTGACAGTATATTTTCAATGTAGCAGACTTATTTTGGAAATTTTTCCATTTAGGCATTTCACTCTTTTGTTCTATTCCTTCTCATTCATTTGTGCCTCTTTCAATCCTTTTATTTTTTTTTTGTTTCTAGGATGCTTTTATTAAATTATTTTTGTTTGGCTTATGATTTTGCAGTGGATTTTATTTTTATTTCACATTTCTATATAACAATTATGAATATTAGGGAATTCATATGAAAATTTTTATATTTTTAATTTTTAATTTTTTTAATGATGTGGCTACATAAATAACACAAAAGTCAGTCCCTTTTACACCTGACTTATCTTCCCCACATCCTCAATTCCCCTACTTAGAAGCAATGTTTCCAGTTTCTTACATATGTTTCTGCAGACACTTTATGTACATATAAACCAATTATATTTAAGTCCCTATCCCTGTTGAAATTTATCCTTAAAATAACAGAATACAAAAATTAGAGGAACCCTTCCATTTGTGCTTAGAGAATCTCTTCCAGTTAGTATGGTATAAGTTATACTTCTCTGTAATTTCCACAACAAATATATATTACTTTTATAATTGAGGAAAGTGTTACTAACAAAAATATGTTTTTAAGTTTCACTATTTCATATGGCTGCTTACATTTATTGTTGACAGTTTTATCCCATAGCTGATAGTTCTATTTTCTTATTCTGGATAAGATTTGGTGGGTGAAGGATACAAATATCACTGCTCAGTCATTGACAGTTACCTCCCAGCAGCTAAAGTTTGGATTGTCTATCACCAAAAAGATAGACTGACTGAAGAACTGCGATGGCTCAGGGCAACTCACCACCTTTATAGGCAAAGTCCTGAGAGCACTATAGAGAACAGGTCAGGGACTTCTTTGCAAAGCAGGATGGCACAGTTAAGTATGTACAGGCTATGCTAAATGCGCGAATTTTTTCCTAATGAAGTTTTGTCATTTACATGCTGAATATTTTTAGATAACCATCTTGTAAATGTTTCCTAAGCTTAGTTGATTTGTTTTATTCAACATAATTTGAACTTTCTAATAGCAAAGTATGATTATCACAAACATTATACTGTAATCAGAATAGCTCAGGTATGTAAAATCCTTGTGGCTTTTTCTTCACTAATAGTAATGATACATTACATAATTTTAAATTTTCAAACAGTAGAAAAGTATATATGATGAAAAATAAGTCTTCCTCTTACTCCAAAATCTTTAATTCCATTCCCAAAGGTATCTATTTTTTAAAATGTCTTAATGTTTCCAGAAATTTACTGTGTATATACATATTTTCTGGGGTTTTGTTGTATACAAATAGAAACACAAGGTACACATTATTTAGTACCTTGCCTTCTCTCTTTTTTTTAAACCTAAAAATGTATCTTGGTGGTTTCTTTCATATCCAAATCTGCAGATCTAACCCATACCGTAAATTATTCAACCAGCACTCTATTAACGATCATTTGCATTATTTCCAGTTTTTAAGTATTACAAACAATATTATAATTATCTTCTTGCTCTGGTTACATATACAATTATAGTTCTAGAGTAAGGTTTTAGAAGTGGAATTGTTGGATGAAAGAATATGAGTATTTTAAACTTGAGTAGAAATTGCACAGGTACTCAATCTTCTCCACCCCTCCTCAAAGTTAATGCTATGAAATACGTTAGTTTTTGTTGAACTAATAGATGAAAACCAATTCCTTATTTTTTATTTGCATATAAATAATTGTGAGCAGGAATGAATATCATTTCCTAAGTTGTAGGTCATTTGTGAATTTTTTTTCTGTGAACTGCCTGTTCAAAAATCTTTCTCAGGTTCTTAATTCTGTCTTTAATTTTAAGTTTGACTTTTGAATCTTTTATGGTAGCTTTACAATAGTTTTTTGGTGATCATATTTATGTATCTTTTATTTTTAGACTTGCAGAGTTTATGTAATGCCAAGATACTAAAAAGAAGTGCCCATATTTTATTCTAGACTGTATATAGTTTTACTCATTTTAGGTTTGGCCCTTTAATTCATCTGTAATTTATTTTGGAAGTGAAGTAGAAATCTAGCTTCCTTTTAAACCTAAATGACAAGCCAGTTGTTGTAATAACATGTATGGAATAATCAACACTCTTCTTTCTCCACTAACTTGGAATGCTACTTACTTCCGAAATATTTTGAGGTCTATTTTTGGGTTCTCTATTGTTGTGATCTATATTAGTGAAAATAATCAATGATATTAAACATTTTAAATTTGTTTAGATTATTATTAGATGTAATTATCTAGTGTCTCTTTATCAAGTGTATCAACCAAAGTGCATTATCAAAGAGAAATTAGACATAAATCATACCATTAACTTGTTAACAGTCCGGTTGTTATAAATTAGAAGCATTGGGATTTTTCCTCAACTTTCTCTTTGACTTGTCATAAGGCTCCTAACACTCTAATTATCTAATCTTCACTTGATTCTTTAACTCTGTGTAGCTGTGTTTCTTGAAGTATATCTCAGGTTTCCTCTAAAATCAGAATTACTAGGGTGTGGCTTAAAATACAGATTCGTGGGTCTCATCCTATGCTGGTCCCACTGGACAAAAATCTCTCTCAGTTGAGCCCAGAAATTTTCATTTCATCAGTCAAAGCTTGAGAACCTTAAACTGTATAGTGTTGTTTTATTAAACAACACAGGAATATAGGTCAGGAGCAACATGGTTTGTTTTCATCTTCAACTGTCCCTGTAGCACAACTAAATCAAAAACGGTAAAGTCATTTGTTCAGCTCTGTGAGCCTCCCCTCTGCAAAAACAGCTGAAACATCCTGCTATAAGAATCTCTGAGAAACATAACCTGAAGCACCAAAACAACTGTACCCTGGTCACAAACACCACAACAGGCAGCAGACAGTGTCTTGATTGAGATAAGGTTTTTAATCAACAGCAACAGATAAAGTGACTGACAGTCAGAACCACCTGAGATGTGATACCTAACACATGTGGCAG